ATTAGAATTAAATTTGCACTCTACTGACCTTTAAAATAATAATAATATATTCAATATTTATACTTATTTTTTAGAAAATAAGAGTAAATAAATTATAGTAATAGCAAAAAAAGATTATTTATACATGCATAAGTTATATAATTCTAAACTATATGATTGATTATATAAATTAAATATAATAAATTAATTATATAAATTACATAATTAAATTTTGACGTCACTGAAATATATTTAAATATGAATTATTAATACCAGTAATAATATATTCATTATTCATGCTTTTTTAATATATATATATATATATATATATATATATATATATATATATATATATATATATATATATATATATATATATATATATATATATATAATAAATATCTTAATCTTGCCTTGATTAAAAATCTAAATAAATAAAGAATGGCTGTATTTAAGCTGATTATGACTTGATTATATAAGTTAGTATAAATTATAGTAATAAAAATTACATTAATTAGAATTAAATTTGGACTCTACTGACAGCTAAAATAATAATACTAATAATAATGTATTAATTATTCATACTTTTTTTTTTTAGAAAATACCTAAATTGTGGCTTGATTAAAAGAGTAAATAAATTATAGGAATAGCAATAAAATTGTATTTATACATATACAAATCATAAAATTAAATATTAATATAAACTATATAAAATTTTAGAAGTTTTATATAATAAATTAAAAATATAAATTATAAAATTATATTTGCGATCCTGATTAAAATATTAATTAATAATAACAATAATAATTCATTGTACATATATATATATTTCAATATATCTTAATCTTGCCTTTATTAAGGGTCTAAATTAATAAACAAATTGGAAAAAGAAAGAAAGACCATATATTTTAACCTTAATTTAACTATGATTTACTGAACAATAAATCACACTACAGACATCAATGTGTCGATAAAGTGAAAATAAAAATAGATTTTCACTTTAAAACTGAAATATTCTGTGGGTGTTAATGAACAATATTCAACACTTAACCAAAAAATGGATTTAAAATAAAGTGTTCATAAACAAAGAACAGCCTTTTCGGACTCTCTTAAAGTTGATCTCAAACAGGTATGAAACATCTTCAAGCAAACCCAAATAAAAAAGTAACGTTAGCGTTACAGATATGACTAAGTTAGCTGTATGAGTCTCAGTAAAAGCAGTGTTGTTTACTGCGGTTTTAAGAGTTGTTCTGCCTTAGGTTTGGATCGATGTATTGACTGATATTAATAACTGATCGGCCGCCTGATCGAGGCTAATAACGCTAACCAGTAAACCAGTCACCAGGTGTCAGTGACCCACAGACACTTACCAGAGGAATAGCGCGTCCCTTCACTGCCGCAACATGTTTCCAAAGGCACGGCTATTTTAAAAATGAATCTGGTCTAAAATCCTATAAAAGAGTAAAAGTACAGGCGACAGCAGGACAAGGCAGTTCCTCTGTTTAACTGAGTGAATCCGGCTAAACATGGCGACCGGAACGCGCAGCACAATAGAGCGAATTCAAAATAAAAGCCAATCGAGCGCTTTATTATCAAACTCACTGAGGGAAAACTGACCTCAGCTCGACCTCGAGTGAGAAAAATAGAAATGTGAACTGAACGGAGAAATCCATGAGCTTTAAACAGATACACTACTTATTTAATTGCAATATTAATGTTGTAGCTCTACATGTCAGGTCTACAATTTCCCCCCATTTTCTTTTCTTTTGTTTGGCTGTCCCATATTCAGTTTTGGACCGATCTCTGCTCTTTTTGTTGACCCAGCTGATTTGTTTGTAACTTGTTACATGTCATACATAAAGTAACTGTGCTGTATTATTTAAGGTGGTGATGAATCTGAATCAGATTTATTGCCAAGTGTGCTTCACACACACACACAGGGAATTTGTTTTGGCTACAGTGTACATAAAGTGACCACACAAAATAATTATGAAAAAAAGACATTAAACAGAGAGCAGGTCAGCAACAATACATAAGCTTTGGTGTGGATGCTGAATTGGTACTAATGGGCCCAAAGTGTGCCAAGAAAATATCCCCCACACCATTACACCAGCAGCCTGAACTGTTGATACAATTCAGGATGGATCCATGCTTTATTGTTGTTAATGCTAAAGTCTGACCCAACCATCTAAATGTCGCAGCAGAAATCTAGACTTATCAGAGCAGGCAACGTTTCTCCAGTCTTCTATTGTCCAGTTTTGGTGAGCCTGTGGGAATTGTCGCCTGTTTCCTGTTCTTAGCTGACAGGAGCGGCTCCTGGTGTGGTCTTCTGCTGCTGTAGCCCATCTATCTCAAGGTTGGACGTGTTGTGTGTTCAGAGTTGCTCTTCTGCAGACCTCAGTTGTGACGAGTGCTTATTTGAGTTACTGTTGCCTTCCTATCAGCTGGAACCAGTCTGGCCATTCTCCTCTGACCTCTGGCATCAACAAAGCATTTGCACCCACAGAACTGCCGCTCACTGGATATTTTCTCTTGTGCAGACCATTCTCTGTAAACCCTAGAGATGGTTGTGCGTGAAAATCCAGTAGATCAGCAGTTTCTGAAATACTCAGACTAGCCCGTTTTGCATCAACAACCATGCCACGTTCAAAGTCACTTAAATCACCTTTCTACCCCATTCTGATGCTCACTTTGAACTGCAGCAAATCATCTTGTCCATGTCTATAGGCCTTAATGCATTGGGTTGCTGCCATGCGATTGGCTGATTAACAATTTGAATTAATGAGCATGAGAACCTAATAAAGTGTCCGGTGTGTGTACAGTATATGAAAAGATAAGTGAATACTGTTATCAGCTCATTTATCATGTTAAAAAAATGCATTTTTGTTTTACATGTTTTCAAAAATGTTATGTTTAAAAATGCAACTGAGGCTGTTTAATTAAATTCACATTAATTCTCATATAATTTTCACAAAAAAAAAAAAAAAAAAACTCAAGAACCCAGGTTCAGCATTTTTGTTTAATTTGACTGACACATGAGTTTACAGTGGACTCTTTTATCCCTTCATTAGATTATTCGGTCATACACTATATACATAAAATGCAACCAAAAAATTAATAATAAAAATAATAATAATAAAAACGAAATAAATAAAAATTAAAATTTTATGGTTTATAATGTTTACCCCAACCACTGAATTTGCTCGTATTTTACCCAAATTTGTGTTGCTGGCGTATTACAGTGTTCTTTTAATTTTTTATCACGGTTGTTTTTATACTGTATCAATGCATTGTTCTATCTATATACAGTAAATCAACATAATTAAGACACACCACACAAAGTAGGTCAAGTTTATTGCCTTAAAGAACATAACAAGCAACAACAACCATTTGTCCACTTACCGAACTAATAAATACATACATAAAAAACAGTGAATCAAATGTAAAAGGCACAAAAATCCATTCAATGTCAAATTCATTTAATTAGTAAAACACCTTACAGCTTTCCTAGCTTAATATTAATGTGTGTGTATATATTCGGATTGATTGTTCAACCACAAAATGACATTTTATATTTAAAGGGTCACGAAACACCAAAACACATGTTTTGAGCTGTTGACAGTCGTATATGTGTCCCACACTACTAAAAACACTATTAGGACACCTATATTTCACTAAAAAGTGTAAATTGGTTGTTTTTTGCGTTATTTTGAGCAAATTCGTACTTCCGGTTTGAAACTAATTTTTGAAGCTGCGTCACGGCCATGAAATCTTAGCTTGTATTACAGCATGTAGACTGAACGTCTGTACCTGGGAGTACCGTATTACGTCTCAGAGTGTGCTGCATTAATGCATGAGTAAGGCTTGGTTCAAACCAATCAGCACGCTCTATTGAGCAACTTCATTAATATTCATTAATGCTACAGTGTTCAGATGGCAGAGAGACGCCACCTTGTGTTGGCAAAACAACATGCAGTGTTGCTTTTATAATTTGCTGCAGTGAAGGTTTTGTTTTCATTGTCTCTCTATGAGAGCGCAGCTGGACTCACGTGTGGATTGCAGTGCCACAACAGTACAAGTCTAAGGAACATTATTTACCCGAGAGCTTTTCTCATCAGCAAATTGTGAAATCCAGATTTGCTGCTCGTCCCTTCTTAATAAAGACGTGGCTCTAGTTGCTGTGGATTTTCCTGTCTCTACAGATTTGGTAAGTGAGCAACCAGTGCTCTTTGTTTATTCTGATATTTTTCTTTTATTCGCTGTGGGGTAACAAACATTGCATGGAAATTATACGCTTAGAGCAGCTCCTTGAACCAAATTTCTCATTTGTCACGAGGGGCACGAATGAATTCCCTGAATGAAAGAGCCAAACTGCAGTTAAAGTCCAGCATTTAATAATTTGTCAAATAATTTGATTACAGATGTCCAAGTAAACACAGTTACTTTCTCCCCTGTGTATGTGTATGTGTCTGTGTTTTGACTCTGAAAATCAGCCCGTGCCTAAATCGACACTCCCATATCATCCCTCTTTTGCTCCTCCGACACTCCCCCCTGAACAGAGTTGGACACGCCCACTTTCCTGACATATTCCAAAGTAGAGGTGTGGAAACACCCTGCTGAAACAAGAGGGTTTCATGGCCCTTTAAAGAAAATGGCAAATTCAATTTGGCCTGTGACAAATGGCACTTTTGGTCCCTGTAATTCTGCAAGACTTTACTATCTCCATCTCCCTCTCCTCCTTCATACATCACATACACTCAAGTGCATGTTTTTTGATAAACCAAGTTACTTACAATCCTTTAACCAGGTCAGGAGATCCATCTGTTCCCTTCCCATTTCAGTCCTTAATCAAACATTAACAGTTTATTTTCCTAAAGATGACTAGTTGATTGCAGATTCCCCTTTCATATATCACAGCTTCCTACATTTCAGATAATGCATCTCATGTCTTGCATTTTGCATGCAATCTGAGCATACATTTCAACAATAAATAAAACAAGAAAACCACCAGAAAAATCATCAATGAGAAATCCCTGAATCATTTTTTATCTAGAAACACCCTCTCACTGCAGTACATTCTGACAATCAAAATGTACCTTTACAGAAGCACACACACACACACACACACGAAATAAACATCTGCAATCATCCATCGGTGTACTTGGCGTCCAGTGTGTGACTGTCTCGTATAGAGAAGAGCCTCCAGACCAACACCTGCAGCAGCGCCACACACAGCGGCACCACACACACAAGCAGAAACATACAGCTGCGCAGAGCACTGCAGAAGAAAAACACACACACACACACACACACACACACACACACACACACACACACACACACACACACACACACACACACACACACACACACACACACACACACACACACACACACACACACACACACACACAACATTTATTATAATCACACACACACAAAGCAGAAACAAATGCACAGACTCCCGTAATGCAGTGTAATGCTGCTCTTCAACCACTAGAGGCTGCTAACGTTAACCAAAGTTTTCATCCATTCTCGTCTGAGGACAATTAAGAAAAAAGTATATATCCTTATTATACAGTACTAGTACACAGTAGTACAGTACACAGGTATAAAATTCTACAACTTTATCCTGAAGGTCTTTTGAAAGCAAGGTGAGCAAAGGGTATAGATTTCACAGGTTATAATGATTTTCTAAAGACACTATATATATATATTCCCCAATTTTACTTACATTTGATGCTTGGTGAATCTTATTTTTAAGGCTCGGTTTAGTTTTGTTTCAGTCAAGGATGAACAAAACATACAAAAACTCTGTTCTGCAATCCATCTGAGTGAGTAGTAATAATTGACTAGTAAACTCACGCTGAATCTACATTCTTCCCCGCATCCTTTATCTCTGCATATCCGTACTGGTTGAGGACGGACACCACCAGCATTGGAGCCAGAGATTGAGCCGGCTTCGTGAAGAGAGCATTGGTCCCGAAAACCATTGAGGAGAGAGGAGAGCTGGACTCATTCAGGAGAAAACATCACAGAAGCAATCAATCAGACTGAACACATCCAACACATGCACATTCCCTCATAGCTGACATTAGACTTTTAGAGCCTCATATTTACCGTTTTAGCTCTAAAGAACAACACCGTTGTGGTTGATGCTACAATATTTTATCTTGGGGATATAGAAGGGTGAATTTGGGTAATCTGGGACACCCAAGTTTTAGTGTGTTTATTTCTGTTCTAACGAAATTTAGTCAACAGGACTTTTATTATAAATTTAGCCTGGACTTCATGTGAGTAAAATCACATGACTTCATCAGGACGGTGATGGCGGAACTATTTAAATGTTAAGGATATACACCTGTCATAAATAAGAAAATGTTCCCAATTGTTGTCAAATTATGTTTGTGATCTATTCAATGCAAAATATCTATTAAAATGTTGAAAATGTGTTTTTTTCTTTTGAACATTTTGCTACACCCCCCCTAAAATAGGCCTAGCAATGCCCATGAGCCTCAGGGTAATGCTGCGTTCACAACAGACGCGGAACGCGAGTCAAGCGCGAGTGATTTACATGTTAAGTCAATGCAAATGCACGAATAGACATCCTGCCGAGCGAATGAGGCGAATTGCGCGGTGCAAATAGCGCAATACGCGTGAGGCGAATTGAGCATTTGCTGTTTGACACGCTTAACGAGCGTTTTGCGCAAATCTCTCGAGTTCGAAAATCTGAACTTCAGTGGACATTCGCGCCGCGTTAACCAATCAGAAGCTTGCTCTTGTGGGGGCGTGATTGTGACGTAGAACCTGTTGATGGTGTCCCAGGGCAAATCCCCCAGGCGACAACGACAACAAGTCATCAAACTGGGCTTGGCTCAGTCAGAGGCAACGATGAAAGTCTCCGTCATCCATGTTCAGTTTCTGGAGGAGTTTATGAGCTCACAGAGCTGGATGCACCTCTGAAAGGATGCAGTGGACTCATACAGGACCCTAAACGTATCGACGCTGTTTTTCAGTCTCCAAAAAGCACATTAATACTGTTATTTTCTTAATAAAATCCATGTTAGCCATTTAGCTAGCATTTGAAGCTAGAGTCGCCGGGCAGACAGAAGCCCTGCCCATTACGAGAATCCGCGTCTGTTTTGAAGTGAATTTGACACGCAATTGAAGCGGATTTGACGGGCGAATGAAGCGGGGTTTGACGCGCGAATGAAGAAAGGAAACTCAAATGTTCACGCGGCAATTTACGCGCAAATAGCGCGATTATTCGCGCTTTCCGCATCTGGTGTGAACACAGCATTAGAAAAAATTACTCAAAAGTAACTCAAAAACAATTAACGTAATGCATCCCTTACCATAAAAAGTAACTACGTAACCCAACTAGTTACATTTTTGGGGAGTAACTCAACATTGTAATGCATTACTTTTAAAAGTAACTTCCCTCAAAACTGCTTACCAATGCATTATTCATTCACAAGATGCCGGCAAACAGCTAAAAACCACAGCGAGACAGACTAGCGCAGGGGTCACCAACCTTTTGGAAACTGAGAGCTACCTCTCGGGTACCGATTAGTGTGAAGGGCTACTAGTTATTAAATAACACATTTTTTTCTTAGTTTACTTTTAGTTATATGTTATTATTAATAATTAATAATATTCATCTATGTGAAGACATTGATCATGTTAATGATTTCTCACAGTAGTTGTCAACAATGATTTAACAAGTTAGATAATTATCAATATGCAACACTTCATTTGTCTGAAATTGTTTTTAAAGTTTTTTTTTTTTTAATATATAACTTAAAGTAATTTTCAAATTTACACCAATGCAAGTGTGATTTAAAAAGAATACCTATAAAAATATTAGATACAGTGTACTCATATGTGGTGCTATGGTGAGCTATTTTTAGAACAGGCCTTGCGGACAACTCATGTGAACCTGGCGGGCTACCTGGTGCCCACCATGTTGGTGACCCCTGGACTAGCGGATACTTATGAATGTGAATGTAAACATATTGATTGGAACGTATTGACTAAAAGTCAAGGTGACTTGAAGTTCTCGGAGTAGGCTGGGTTATTCAGCAGTTGTTATTTGGGAATAACATACCTTGGAATGTCGTGACTGACCAATGTAAGCCTTGTAATAATGTATAGCTAAATAACATATGACCTAAATGCTTCACAAAGGAAAAGAAAGAGGCAACACACTGTACCTGCGTTTGTATTTCTGTAGGTCGGAGTCAATGATGTCTGCCAGAGGCAAATTGAAGAGACTGAAGGCGGCCTGAACCAGCACCCTAAATCACCAGCAAAACAACATAAATAATACATTATACACTTGACTATGAACAGTTGCATTATTTATGCCTTCTCCATGTAAGGTTAATATAGTATTAATGGTATTTCATGAACTTATACGGCTTTACAGCTTGACTTAATAGTTGACAAACAGTGTCTTCACATATAAGAAAACTCATTCTCATGAATAATAATTAGACACAGATGCATCATCATAATACAAAAAGTTTTATGCTACAACCCCCAGGGAAAGCTCAAAACTAGCCAGCTGTTCCTTGACTAATATCTTTAACAGATCATTAATTGATGTTCAGCACACATTAAAATCTCTGATATTTAGTTGGGGGTTTCAAAGACCCTTTAAAATCCACTAATCAATTAATTAATCCACTAATTAATCCATAATTAGTTATAAAAATGTGTTGTATTGTAATATTCAATCAAAGTCTGACCATTTGCTTCCAAGTTTGGCAGTCCTTCTGTTTTATTAATATTAAAGCCCCTCCCCCTACTTAATATTCCATATCAGTTGGAAGTGCATCAGCATACTGAAATAAAAGTCTCAGCAACTTCCAGTTTCTGTCACACCTGTTGCAGTGCCCTCTTTTGGACACTTGAGGGCACTAGCTTGTTTTGTAGTTTAACTTCATTTCCTATAATCCTTTGCACTTCTGAATAATATTAATAATTACACTTAATAAAACAACTATTTTTGACTTAAATGCTTTTTGATTTAAGATTTCATAGATATTTGGTCTAGAAACAAGAAAAAACTATGTAAGATAATTAATTTTTGAACTGTAATTTCAATTTATTTTTTTTCATTTTAAACAAACATTGAATCATTTTAAGTCTCCTTAACTTAAGTCCCCCCTGTTTATTTTTCCCCCAATTTCTGTTTAACAGGGCAGATTTTCTCAACATATTTCTAAACATAATAGTTTTAATAACTCATTTCTAATAACTAATTTCTTTTATCTTTACCATGATGACAGTAAATAATATTTGACTAGATATTTATCAAGCCACTTCTATACAGCTTAAAGTGACATTTAAAGGCTTGTTAATTAGGTTAACTAGGCAGATTAGGGTAATTAGGAAAGTTTTCGTATAACGATGGTTTATTCTGTAGACCAGGGGTGGCCAATCCTGTTCCTGGAGATCTACCTTCCTACAGATTTCAGTTGCAACCCTTATCAAACACACCTGTCTGTAATTATCAAGTGGATTTCAGGTCCTAATTAATTGGTTCAGGTGGGTTTGATCAGGGTAGGCGCTAAACTGTACAGGAAGGTAGATCTCCAGGAACATGATTGAGCACCCCTGCTGTAGACAGTCGGAAAAAAATATAGCTTAAAGGGGCTTATAATATTCACCTTAAAATGGTTCATAAAAAAATTAAAGCTGCTTTTATTCTAGCCGAAATAAAACAAATAAGACTTTCTCCAGAAGAAAAAATATTATCAGACATACTGTGAAAAATGTCCTAGCTCTGTTAAACATCATTTGGAAAATATTCAAAAAAGAAAGACAAAAATAAAAAGGGGGCTAATGATTCTGACCTGTGTGCTGAAACCGGTCCAAAGGTGGATTCATAAACACAACACATATTGTAATACGTCTAGTTACTATGCATGAAAGAAGGCTTTATGCACTAAGCAGCAGAAAACACATAATCTGGCCTGCATTCCTAAAGTGATTATTCACTCAAAATACACTACTGTAAAGTTTTTAGTTTCAAATAAATGCATCTGCTTTTATTCTTCAGTTTACAAAAAAAAATATTAGGCAGCAAAACCTTTTCGGTTTTTAATATATAAAAGCATGCATCGGTCATCATTCATTCATTCATTTTCTCAACCCGGATTCATTGTGGAAACGTAGCCCCGCGGACGTTTCTGCGGACCGCGAGATACGTCCCGGGAGGTTTGTATTCGAGCGTTTTTTGTTTTCGCGGATCCGCGAGAGGCGGATTTTTCGCGTCTCGGGCGCCTCTCGGGAGCGCGCGCCGTTCGCACCTGCGCTATTCTTGTGTGAAAAGCCACCGGATCGGCCGACCCGGCCGCCCTCCTCTTCCTCCTCCTTCCCTAAACCCGAGCGACGGTTTGCAAAAGCCGTCCAGAAAAAAAAAAAAGCTTCTTCGATTTCGACCGCGTTTTTGGATCCCGCCGCGTTCTCGCCCTTATTTTTCGGATTCTGTTTTTCGTATTACCTGATTTCTGGAACTGCTGTTCCCCGGACTCGATCCCGGTCATCGTCCCCGCGGCCGGCTCCTCCTCCTCCGGGGCCTCCGCTCCGCCAACGCAACGCTGGGAGCTAAGCGGACAAACTAGTTGCATCGGGAAAGCCCTCCACTCGGAGGCAAGCTGTCGACCGGCGAGCGCAAAGAGGAGGAGCGGAGCGGCGCCACACCGCCCCGCAGCGTTCGCTTGAAAAAAACTAAACGTAAATCGCGGTCTCCAGAAACGTCCGCAGGGCTACGTTTCCAGAATGAGCTTGGGCTGCATTTTCTTGTCAGCTTATTCCCTTTATTAATCTGGGGTCACCACAGCGGAATGAACCGCCAACTAATCCAGCACGTTTTTATGCAGCGGATGCCCTTCCAGCCGCAACCCATCTCTGGGAAACATCCACACACATACACACTTATACACTACAGACAATGGAAACCCACGCGAACGCAGGGAGAACATTGCTTATACAAATATTGCGTTAACGATAATGTTGCAATAGTGCATGCCTACAACTATTATTTATTAATATTACCCTTTTTACAGTGTTTGTGATTAAATAAATGCAGCCAAAACACCCAAATATGCTGAAAGGCAACCCTAATCATTTAAACAATAGTGCATATGTACAGATGCATAAACTTCCCAACTTAAAAGACGGCATATAAGCCGCTCCCGGTGTCGTATGCACATATCATGAGCTGTCTCTTCATATTTTTCCCTTTAGCCCAGAGCAGGACACAAAGAGCAGTGTAAATACTTACATGTTGGAAGTGAGGAACAATGCGAGGAAGTAGTAGTTGTGTGGGCCGAGCAGTAGCATGATGAGCGCGGCTCCGGCCTCCACACAGAAGGAGATCAGGATCAGTCTGAAGTAGCCGAACTTACGCAGGAGATCCTGACTGCACAACACCAATATCTGCTTAACAACACAAAGACCGGTCAAAACAAAAGTGTTTTTAATTCGGCTCTAATGGTGATGTAGAATGTTTCTGTGCATTAAATGAGGACTTGTACAAATTAAATACATTAAAAGGCTGATTTGATCAAAATTATTATCCACATTTTCCTAATTCGTCTTCTGCATTTGATAAATCCTTTCTGGTTTGGGGAAAAGATGTAAACTAATCATACGGGGTTGGCTTAAAATATCTTTATCTGTCAGTGAAAGAAATGTAGATTTTACTAGAGCTGTCAATAAATCAATAAATCCATTCTGCATTGATTCTGAGATTTCAAACAGCATTGCTATTGCTGTTCTCTATTAAATTAATTTAGAGTTTAGTCGTTAAACTGCAGATGGCGCTCTATGCTAGTTTTTAACAGCAGGTGATGCTCTATGCTAGTTTTTGACAGCAGATGGCGCTCTAGGCTAGTTTTTAACAGCAGATGGCGCTCTGGGCTAGTTTTTAACAGCAGATGGCGCTCTATGCTCGTTTTTGACAGCAGATGGCGCTCTATACTAGTTTTTAAAGGCAGATGGCGCTCTATGCTAGTTTTTGACAGCAGATGGAGCTGTATGCTAATTTTTAAAGGCAGATGGGGCTCTAGGCTAGTTTTTGACAGCAGATGATGCTCTATGCTAGTTTTTGACAGCAAATGGCGCTCTGAGCTAGTTTTTAACAGCAGATGGCGCTCTGGGCTAGTTTTTAACAGCAGATGGCACTCTATGCTCGTTTTTGACAGCAGATGGCGCTCTATGCTAGTTTTTAAAAGCAGATGGCGCTCTAGGCTAGTTTTTAACAGCAGATGGTGCTCTATGCTAGTTTTTAAAGGCAGATGGCGCTCTAGGCTAGTTTTTGACAGCAGATGATGCTCTACGCTAGTTTTTGACAGCAGATGGCGCTCTAGGCTAGTTTTTAACAGCAGATGGCGCTCTGGGCTAGTTTTTAACAGCAGATGGCGCTCTATGCTAGTTTTAAGCAGCAGATGGCACTCTATGCTTATTTTTGACAGCAGATGGCGCTCTATGCTAGTTTTTAAAGGCAGATGGCGCTCTAGGCTAGTTTTTGACAGCAGATGATGCTCTTTGTTAGTTTTTGACAGCAGATGGCGCTCTATGCTAATTTTTAACAGTAAATGGCACTCTAGGCTAGTTTTTAACAGCAGATGGCGCTCTATGCTTGTTTTTAACAGCAGATGGTGCTCTATGCTAGTTTTTAAAGGCAGATGGCGCTCTAGGCTACTTTTTTACAGCAGATGGTGCTCTAGGCTAGTTGTTAACAGCAGATAGCACTCTAGGCTAGCTTTTAGCAGCAGATGGCGCTCTAAACTTGTTTTTAACCTCAGACGGTGCTCTAGGCTTATTTTTTAACAGCAGATGGCAATCTAGGCTAGTTTTTAAACTGCAGAAGGCATTTTAGGCTAGTTTTTATCAGCAGGTGGCGCTCTAAACTTGTTTTTAACATCAGACGGTGCTCTAGGCTAGCTTTTAACAGCAGATGGCGCTCTAGGCTAGCTTTAAACAGCAGACGGTGCTCTAGGCTAGCTTTTAACAGCAGATGGCGCTCTAGGCTAGCTTTTAACCGCAGATGGCTCTCTAGGCTAGCTTTTAGCAGCAGATGGCGCTTTAGGGTAGTTTTTATCAGCATATGGCACTCTAGGCTGGTTTTTAACAGCAGATGGTGCTCTAGGCTGGTTTTTATCAGCAGATGGTGCTCTAGGATAGTTTTGAACAGCATTTGTCACTCTAGACTACTTTTTTTACCAGCAGATGGCGCTCTAGTCTTGATTTTAAAGTTGCCATTAAACGACCTTAGTTTAGTTATAGTGTTAAACTTGACAATAAATATGCACATTAATCAGTTTACTAGAGCCTTAAGAATATAAGTGGTAGTTCTGTCGTCTGATGCACCTGCGGACAGATGAATCCGGCTCCATACATGATGCTCTTGGCAAGTGACGGCAGGACGTCCTGAGGAATGAGTTGCTCTGCAAAGATCATGGTGAAGTTGTTGCAGAACGCCACCATGAAGACCTGGAAGAAGTTCATGAAGACAAAGACCTGGAAGTCTCTGTTGGTCAGGATCTGCCAGGTCATGGACAGCACAGATGCCAGTGAGAGTGGCGGACTCTGCGCGTCATCGGCCGAGCTCTTGCTGTCGAAACGGCTCTCACTGTGGAGGCCCGTGTACAGCATGCAGACGCATGCCACTACAGCCACCAGCACGCTGAAGGCCTGGAAGGATGCGAAATCCTCCATGTTTTTTGAGAGGAGGCCGCAGAACAGCACACTGGAGGATCCCACCAGAGACGCCAACTGGCTGTACTTGATGAGCCTTAGCCGGTTGTGGTGGTTTCCAGAGATCTCTGCGAACAGAGCGCACTGGGCCAGCAGCACGAATGTGAGCATGCCGTCGAAAGCACAGAGGGTCACCATGAGGTGGACGCCGCTCAGCCAGTCTTCGGTCTCGTACGTCCTCCAGGGGAACCAGGCAAGCAGGAAGGACAGGCAGTACAGAGGGGCTCCGTATAAGATAGAGAGCCTGCGCCGGGAGCAGCACTCCATCCGAGAGTTGTCTTGCAAATATCCAAACAGAGGATCATTCAGAGCATTCCAGATCATATAGACCACCTGTGTGGAGACATGAAAAATAAGGGATCCTTATTGGTCCAAACTGGCACGTTGTTTAGATATCCTAGTAATCAATGCTGGTGATCAAACACTTTTGCTTGCCATTGGTTTTCTTTATTTAGACGTTTTACACATTTTAGCATGTCTGCATGTTTCACAAAATGAGAGAATGAATCCAGGTTTGAACTAACATCTATTTCATTTTTGGTTAACTGTGAAGCTGATGAGCTGAACCATCAAAATACACAAGGAACCAGCTTCTTACATGACTTAGCTTGAGGTATATGGGGGTCTTCAGGTGCTCAACTGGTTATGCTGGTCTGTTTCAATGGTTTTCAAGGGTTTATAACTGCATTGTAAGGTGGAAAGGGTGGATGACCAGCTAAACCCGCTAATCTGGTTTAAGTCTGTTTGCTTAACTTACTTTAGACTTCACTTATCAAAGTATAACATGTATCATATTTCATAGTGTTGATGATCAACTAATGCATGTGCAATTGAAACACTTTTTAAGAGTTTAGCAAAATATCTAAAAACCTAAATAATGCTTTATCCACAAGTTTTTTAGATGTTAGTCTAAGTATGTTAGTTTTTAGGATATCTATAAGCTAGTGTGCTCCAAAACAGTCACAATATTTGCATTTGGAAGATGTTAACCTCATATAAGCATCCAAAGCTTGCAGTTTGTCACTTTCGCTTAAATAGATCAACAATTCTTTGAGGTCATCTCATATTTCAGTTTCTCAACAAATCTTCAGACCAATCAAATGCTCTCTAGTATCTGACATGCTCCGCTCCCTTCAAGATGCTTCACATTTGTTTTTCATCTGATGAGTTTGAGCCAGGTAGCAGCCTACTGCTCTCCCTCGTGAAGCAAATACAGAAGTAACTGAAACTGCAATGCATCGAAATTCTGCTTTAAAAGAGCAAGTGGATATAAAAGACTAGATAGGGAAAGAAAAAGAAGCGATCGGGAATTGAAGAGCAGTGGGGGGTGGGGGGGGAGGGGGCGTAAAAGTGATTGGTAATTGAAGAGCGCGGGATGGGGGAGCTGCAGGTCAGAGTGATGGTGGCAGGTCAGATTGACCCATCAGGCCACCGTCCCGCTGCTTCATATGGCCAGTCCACCTCTGTTCCCAAGTGTTCAAAGGTTTAGGGAATGGGTCTCAAACTCAACTCCTGGATGGCCGCAGCTCTGCACAGTTTTGCTTCAACCCTAATCAAACACAGCTGATCCAATTAATTTACGGTGATCAAAAGAGTCTAGAACTAGGGTTGGGCGATGTCGACCAATTTGGCATCGTACGATGTCTGAAGAGCGAGGAGGGATCCGTGGGTGAGAAGGGTGCGCGACTTATTTGAGGACCGGGAGGGAGACACGCCTTTTTCAGGGAAATTATCACTCATTTGCGGCCATTATGAGTCCTGCAAATGCATAGAGACTTCTGGAACTTCCGGGAGACTTGGGATGTCTGAATATCATGTTTAACAACTATAGTGAGACGCGATCCAGTGGTACATTCTTGATGAACTGTCCGACGTGCACTGCTCTCTGGAGCTCAGAGGAGTGCATGACAATGTGTGTCTGTGTGTGGTCATGTGATGTGCGTTTTCAGCGGATGAAGGGCTGTTCAGATAGTGTGGATGTGGATCATTTTCCTTCTAAAATGCCATTTTACACTAAGAAGTATTAGTGTAAACGGGGCCTGAGTGTGTATTTTTCGCGAGCGAGTTTGCAACGGGGGCAGGGCGGAGGATCGGCGATGCCGGCTCAGCATTGTGTTTTCTATTGGTCATCGGCAATGAACGATGGCATCGTCTGCCGGCCGAACCCTATCTTGAACAGCTTGATTACTTGGATCAGCTGTGTTAGATTAGGATTGAAGTAAAACTGTGCAGAGCTGTGGCTCTCCAGGAGTTGAGTTTGAGTTTGAGGGCATTGCATTTAAACCCATTAAGATGTTCCGCCAGTAGTGGACACTTTGGTGATGTAATCAATGACGTACATCAGAGGGAACAAGATGGAGAGAAGTTATGCTGAGTTCAGACCGAGTGACACAACTATTTTAAAAAATCATGCATTCTAACCTCGGCATTAGTGAATGAAAGATATAAAAAATAGGACTGGAATGCAACCTTCCTCCAACATGCACTAGGAAGTCAGCAAATCAAAGCACACTGGGCCAATCAGAGACCAATGTGTATTTAAGAGGGAGGGCCTTCATAGAACCAGAAAGTCACCAAACTTTGTCAGACCCGCTGGCTGTGTCCGAAATCGCCTACTACTCAAGAAGTACTACATACGAATTAAAATTTACTACATGACCGTTAGAAAAGTGTGTTATATACCATATGAATATGAGCAGTATGAATGGAGCTCGGACGTACTACATCCACCATTTGTCATTATCATGTGATCTACACATGTCAGTTGTATCACTTTACTTCTATGCATGATTTCTCTAGTAGTGCAACATGGGATAGCGTAGCGTCCATCAGAATCTCAACAGAAGTATTAGGTCATCAGGATACTTCACCTACTGCAATGAAAAAAATGATGTCTGCAAAACTGTTGCAAACAATTTATTTGTGTTGAATTTAAACAAACAAATTAAATTTAATAAAATTCAACTTAATTTGTTTGTTTAAATTCAGCCCAAATAAATTGTTTACAGCCCCTTAACTTAAAAACATTTAGTAAATCCAAGGAATCATCTCTGAATAATTTTTTTCAGTTTTTAAATTCGGACATGCTACTTGACTTGCATACTTTTTTTAGCATAACCTCTATAGTATGGAAATATGCCATTTCAGAGGCAACTTCAGTCGTTTGGTAAACCAAAACATACTTATTGTCATCTGTATTTATTAAAATGTGTAAAAGAATAAGTAACCATACAAAAATTTCTGTTTAAATTATTAAAACATCCCTGCTGACAAATGGGTACAACCTGGTGGTTTTAAAAGACAGTGGAAAATATAAACATTTAATAATTAATGATTATTTTGGGACCAAACTGTAACAGAGCTTTTGAATTTTTCATTAAATCATTCTTGACCTAAATATGCCTAAGATATTTTAGTGTGGGTAAATGGTGAAACAAATGTATGATAGTCATTACTTTTGCTCATAATAGCTTGAAACATGCTAAATAATGGGAAAAATGTAAACCTTTTATTATAATTTATTGTAATGTATCTTTGTAATTATGTTGACCATGCTGACACCCGAGCAAAACTTGCTTTCGGGACATTGCTTTGTGCAAAACTGTCAAAACCACATTCACTTTTTTGTGTAAATTATTGTATAAATGGGTTTCGTAAAGCAATTGAAAATATTTAAAAAGCTAAAATGTAATGCACAGAATAAGAAAACCCATAATAACACTCCAGGGCGTCATGGTGGCGCAGTGGGTAGCACAATCGCCTCACAGCAAGAAGGTCGCTGGTTCGCATGTTCTTCCCATGTTCTTGTGGGTTTCCTCTGGGTGCTCCGGTTTCCCCCAGTCCAAAGACATGCGGTGTAGGTGAATTGAATAAGCTAAATTGGCAGTGAAAGAGTGTGTATGGGTGTTTCCCAGTGTTGTGTTGCGACTGGAAGGGCATCCGCTGCGTAAAACACATGCTGGATAAGTTGGCGGTTCATTCCGCTGTGGCAACCCCTGATTCATAAAGGGACTAAGCCGAAAAGAAAACGAATGAATAAATATTAACACTCCGACACCGCCCACTCTACACCTGCAAACAAAAGCCAGCCAATCCCGTGTCAGAATGACAAATACAGCAAGTGACTGACAGACAACGACCGTTTCTGATTGGCTAAAAAAAAGTGCAGGTCCCTCCCACAAACTGTTTAGGTTTTTTAGAGCTTATAGTACTTGTAAATGATTTAAAGTCTTGTGTGGACTTCTTATTTTGTAGGAGTTCATGTTAAAAGATTTGAAAGCTCACCTGTGACAGGTGGAAAGCCGCCTCTGATATCCTGTACTTATTCAAGAACAGCTTCACATAGTAGAAACTGAAAATGCTGTTCATCATGCCTGCACCGAGCGTCGTCATGCAATAAGCCAAAGCGGCGGGATGAGCAAAGTTTCTCATGATGCTGAGATTGATGAGATGTCTGTCAGAGCTGAATAATAATACTAATAATAATAATAATACAAAGAGACGCTATTATAAAACTCGTGCAGTCGCTGATATGTGATCCATATTAGTTAATTCCATTGATTATATCAGAAAGCATGAACAGAATACATGTTTTTCAGTTGAGTGTATATCCACAACAGAGTTCAATTTCACCTCATCCAAATACAAGGCACTGCACCACTTCCTGGTATTCCAATACTAAGGCGTGGCTTGTACGCAAATCGATCCAGTAGTAGATTTTCATTGGACAAGACGCCGCGCAGATCCCGCCCTCGCTCTCTAATTGGCCAGCAGGCAGATCCGCTCTTGTTGTTATCCAGTGTTCGCCCAGTGCTGAGTCTGACTCTGCCACGTTGCCGCGGGCGCCGCTTCTTCTCACCGCCAGGGACCGAAGCAGCCACTCACCGGCGTTTATACCGCAGACAAAGAGCGCTGATGTCTTAAAATACACGGGAAAAAGAGAATAGACAGGCGGTACTTGTGGGAGCTTTAGAAGGAGTCGAGATGCTGACGGACGTGATAGTAGAGGAGGATTTTGACCGCAGTGAGGAGGAGCTGTGGTACAGCAGAAAAGACCTGGAGCACGGTAAAACAAACTCCTTTAATAATATATGCATCATTAATAACACACACACACACACACACACATGTAGACTGCTACAGGAAAAGATGGTTTAAAGAAATGTCCAACGTAACGTTTTATTACAAATGTTGCAGTTAACGGTTGTAGTCAGGCTACTATGTTCAGCATCAATCGGGATAACGTTACAGCCTGAATTTCGCGAAGGTCAGGCGAAATATTCAGGGTAAAACTGTAGGGTTTAAATGTTGAGTGATGTGAATGAGAAGCAGGTTAATGAGGCGATAATCTAAGCAGTGTGTAATCTGTCTAACTGAAGGTCACGCCCATTGAAGCCCTTTAAATGCGCACCGCTGACGTCATCAGATGATGAAGATGATGATGAAACAAACAAAAAAAGATGATGATGATGATGATGGAGTATGATGATGAAAACAAACAAACAAAAAATATATTCTGAAATGCTTGAAAGGTAGTCTTTAAAGTGCGTCGACATATAGTGCTGAGGTGCTCACGGTGACCCGAGTTCGATTCCCGGCTCGATGTCTGTTTCCGATTAAGGTAAAGTTGTTTTTATTTTTACACATTCAGACTTTCTCCTTAATTTTATAATTTTAGAAAATAATATAAGGAAAACATTACCAGCCAATGTCTATTAAAGTATAACACAGTCAGATAAATACTGCTAATGTTGTTTTGAAGTCATATTTAAATGTGATTTCTCATTTACATTTAGTCATTTAGCGGACGCTTTTATCCAAAGCGACTTACAAATGAGGACAAGAAAGCAGTTTACACAATTATAAGAGCAACAATGAATAAGTGCTGTAGGCAAGTTTCAGGTATGTAAAGTGTGAGTTTTCATCAGTTTATATTACTATAGTTATGTGTTATTGAAACATTCAGACTGAATATTCAAAGTAGTGTGGTAAACAATATAGGCACTGTTAAATTGAATAAGTCTGCGAATATAAAACCAAACTTTACCTCAACTTTCTCTTTATTCGGAAAAGGATTGGTTTTATATTTGCACATTCATTCAATGACAACTTGTGACTCAGTCCCTAAATTGTTTACCCACGCTAATTTGAATATTTGCTCTAGAATTGCATGCAAGTATAACTTTAAAACAACATTCGCACTATTTAATTGGCTGAAAATGCTAAATGCAAATGTGATTACCCCATTTAGAGTATTTGCAAAGACTACTTTTCTTAAGTTATCTTATTGAGAAGAATATAAAACCAACTATACCTCAATCTTTGCCAAACCTGCCTGTCGACGTCCCCACAATTTCCTGTCTAATCTACACCATCCTATCAAAATAAAAAAAGCTGGTAAAATCCCTAAACAAACACTGAAACATTTTAGACTTCAAGATGCTTGCTTTTGTGTTTTTGTGCCACAGACGAGTGTGTTGCATGTTGTTTGAGCAGTTTAAAACTTAAAGTACTCTTTAATTAGTTTGATGGATTTAAAAATCACTTAATCCCATATGAAAAAAATACTATAGTACTTTATACTGTTGTAACAGACATACCAAAGTCAATCTGTTGAGGTAAATCTATAGTTGCAAGAGTAACACAGCAACTATAGTAATATAAACTGATGAAAACCCTGTACTGTATTTTACTACAGCTATATATTTTATACCATAATACACCACCGTTTGCTGTAGTAAAAACTACAGTATACTTCAATATTTATTCCAGTTTATTAGTTCATTGCAGTTTATTCTACACTACGCTGTCGTGTTCATTTCCGAAGTGTTGTAAATGAATATAATTCACCTTATTCTTCACGTACGAGTGGTTGCAGCCATTTAAATCTTTTTGGCTGGAGACTTTCGCTTTCATTAACTTTCATTTATTTTTAGAGGTTAAAAACAAATTGTTGCGCTGCTCGATGTTGCAAACTGATATTTTCTTATTATTTGTTGCTCTTCTTTGTCTGTATAGTCGGAATAGATGGAATAAAATACCAGTGTATATTAGAGAGAGTACCACTTTTAGTCATTTTAAAACTGTTCTTAAAATTTGGCTTAAACAAAATCAAATATGCAGGCACTGATTTGATTTGATTTTATTGACAATGATGTATTGTATTTATTAAACTGTAAGTGTATATTGTATTGATTATTGCTGTTAAATTTGTTACTTCCTGCCCAGGGACTACAGATGTCATGTTGTACATTGTCCCTGTGTGTATATATATATATATATATATATATATATATATATATATATATATATATATATATATATATATATATATATATATATATATATATATATATTTAAAAATAAAAAAATAGTCATGAACACATTTGTTTGTAGAGAAAGTAGTTTGACTGTATTCTGCCGTTCATTATTCCTAGTCATTTCTCTCAGAGGCAACAGAATCAGAAGTTCTAAATCAATTGCAAAAACGAACACACTTCAGCATTGAAGAATAAGGTCAATAATATAGAAAATGCTATAAAATATACAATATAATAAACTTTACTACAGTATGGTTCAGAAGCACTGTAATATTTACAATAAATATATTATTTTTTAATGTATAAAAACAAGCAACTGTTTTATTGTTTACTGTTAAATAAGTATTTAAAGGGCACCTATGGTGAAAAATTTACTTTTCACGCTGTTTGGACAGACGTGTGTAGGTTTAGTGTATAAACAGTCATATAGGGGTGATATAAACACACCCAGTCCTTGTTTTTCAATTTAACAACATAAAAATGGTGGACCAATTGGAGCGGTTTTTTAGACCGACCGCAACTTTACGTAGGAGAGCGGTCCCCCCGCCCATCAATATTGATTGACAGCCTCGCGTCACAATCATATCCTCAGTTTCTTGTTTCAAGTCTGCCATTTTCAGCGTGTGAGTCAAAGCGATATCACTAAAGTAACACCCGTGCTCTATTTTTAGATGAAAGGCTCATTGGGCTCAACACAAGTTCAATATTCTCCACATCATCGCTCTAATTGGAATTATTGCTTGTACCTTTTGCGTAGCGCTGTGCTTTTCGGGGTTCTGGACGCGGGTTTCTGTCAAGGTGCACGCGGCGGGGCTTCGGTTTGGCGGCTCGATGGTCGCGCCGCCGTTGTGTTTGCCCTGGTGGAGGTTTGTGTTTGGAGTTCTGGAATGCCTGGCACGACGATTAGGGACACTTCATGTTTTGTGCCGTGTCGCTGCGCATTCGGTGCCTCAGTCAAAGTTAATTCAGTGTGTGTGGTTATTAGTCTTGGTGTACAAGCTCGGCACTTGTACACCGAGACTATACAAACTATACCAAGACACAAATGATCTGTGTCCGAGTCGTACATGTACGGCTAAATGCTTATCCTAGCTTAGCTTAGCTTCTCTCTCTGTCTGTCAGCCTGTCTGTTGCAAACACAGAGCGTGGGAGCTCTTGACTCCGCCCCCTTGTTACATTGGCTGGGAGCCGAAACTAATTTTCATGTGAAGCAACACACCCCTAAAACAGCGAGCGGTGTACACACCCCCAACATGATACTTTTAAACACATTATAATGAAAACATCTGAACTGTGTTGAACTGAACCTGAACTGGCACACTCAGAACAACCAGAATATTAATATTAAATCATAAAAAGGGATAAACTATGTGCCCTTTAATTTAACTAACTAAACAGCATTTATTAATCTTAATATCATCAATTTCAGTAATTTAAAGATCAGTGGTTAACGTCTGGTAATCAGCTAAAGACCTGCTTTAATTTGTTTAACATATTAACTAATGTACAAAAATAAGGCCTTACTCTATTGCCAAAGGACATTTGAATCTGTGTACTGTACATGATGTATCCCATTTGGTGTTTTATTTGCTCATGTATTTCAGAATAAATACAAATATTTAATGCTGAAAAGTGTTTTATTTTGTAAATATAATGTAGATAATGCTTTCATTCCTCTGATAATAATAGGGGTGAGTGTTGTGCTGGGACTTTGTTTGCACTTGGCAGGACGCCTTTTCCTTCTTTCTCTCCAAAGCAGTGGTAATATGTATTTGTTTTTAAGGAACTCGTGTATTCATTATAGGTCTAAAATGTTAAATGATTTGTTATTCACAGAATATGTCTCAGAGACAGTATTCTGCCTTATGATATATTATATAACAACATTTATAAAGAATTAATATCTAGATATGTGTGGAATTTTGTTGCATCATTCTGCATTAGCTGGCCTGTGGTAATAATAATCATTATATCAGCTTATTGCGCAAAAAAAATGACCATAATAATTTTCGATGATGCAATTTTCGATTGGGCAGCCTCTGTCGTCTTATCTAATCTCAGCTTTGAGTCAAAGAGTTCAGGTTTAAAAACAATTAATAGTTATTGCTGGATGTAGAAAAGCTGATTATCAAAACTTGTCATATTTTCATATCAACTATTTACAGAATCATTCCAGTATATGTGTAAATATTCTTTTCTAAACCTCCTCCACCCTTTTCCCACCCTCACAAGACCACAAGCACACTGAAATGGATACATTTGTGAGACATTGAGCTGATGTGTTAAAATAAGAGGAAAAGACAAGTACACAAGCAATGATGACTAATAAAAGATTAAAGCAAGGAAGAGTTATCCTTATCCCATCAGCATTTTCAGTCAATATAATGTCGAAAAATCTGAATTTTCACACTTTCCTCTAGAGGTGTGAACCTATACTGGTCTCACGGTTCGGTTATGATTATCATGCCTTTGGTTCAATTCAATATCTCGGTGCATCACGGTGCATTGACGATGCTTTCCATATACAGTGTTATATTTTAGGGGGGAGGCTATAACAAGCTGTCTGTATAAACACACAGACACACAGCACCACACTGTCTCTCATTCAAACACATTCACAAACATAGACAGCACCAAACAAACAAACACACACGCACGCACTAAAGCCCTCGCAACAGGGAGAGCTCGCGCTGAGCAGAGCAGAAAAACGTAAAAAAACGAAAAAAATAAGCACTTTTGCGATGTCCCTTACTGAGAGCTCCTCTCAGCGTGAGCTCTCCCGGCTAAACACATTTGCGAGGGCTTAAACGAAGCAGTGCTCGTAATGTCGAGCGAAAAAAAAGAAAGACAGCTGTGAAACATAACCAGCTTTGTCTTTTTGTAGGAAACACACTTTAGATCTTTTTAGGGTGAGAGGTTTTTGAGTTATTGTCGCTATAACTGAATGTGTGTCAGGAATGTTGAAAACAAAACCAACTGAACCGCGCTCATTTCTGGCGCCCTCCTGGATATACAGCGCCCTTAGCATTTGCCTATGGTGCCTATGCCACGGGCCGGCCCTGAGTTGGCTGAGTGTTGTAAATACTCGCGCTCACCTCCCTCGCGACAGAGCGCATAGGAGATAAATGACGTCAGTATATAATAAACGGTTATGATTATTACTGAACTGATACCTTATTGTCCGCGTCTGCATCGCGGTGCACCAAAGAAACAATTAATTTTGACACCCCTACTTTCCTCAATCTTGTAATGGTTTGGAAGTTGTCCATATGAGCTCTGTTTCACACAACAATAATAATTTATCATGACAGGCTTAAGCTTAATATTTATTTATTTAAAATGAAACGATATGCTTATTTTGAGCTGTGTACATGCACTCTACCGGTCAAAAGTTTGGGATCGGTAGGATTTTAAAATGTTTTAAAATATCCGCTGTGATTGTGCATCGGGCTGGATGACGTCTGCTGTTTTCCTCCATCTTACTGTGCACTCTCCTGTGTTTGTGTGTGACAGATCTGCACTTGGCTGCTGAGCTGGGCAAGACTCTGCTGGACAGGAACCATGAGCTGGAGCAGGGCCTTCAGCAGATGTACTCCACCAATCACGAGCAGCTGCAGGAGATCGAGGTGAAGCTTCTAATAAACAAAACACACACACACACACACACACACACACACACACACACTTCTCAGATCATAACACACACTCTCCCACTCAGATCACAGCACACACACTCACTGCTCAGACTATAACACACTGATATTGATGGAGGAAACTCTCTCTTTCTCTCTCTCAATGCTCAGACCTTAACACACACACACCACACACTGCTCAGAACATGATATACACACGGTCGCGTCAGCAGAAACATACAGCTGTGCAGAGGACTGGAGGAAACACAGACACACCTACTGCTTAGAAAATAACACACACACACACACACACACACACACACACACACACACACACACACCCTATGTAATATAGTTCCACCCTACGTAATATAATCAAACACAAAACTGTTCTTTTCTGAGGATCTGAGTGGGTAGTTGGTCTTGGATGCTTATGTTGATGTACAGTTGCACAATTATCAGCCCTCCTATGAAACTTGCATTCTTATTTTATGTTTACCAAATGCTGAAGATATTTCAAAACCTTTCTAAACACACTAGTTTTATGCAAAAGCTCTGCAAGCTAAAACGCTATTATTTCACGATAGAATTTTGTTGAGTTTTAATCATTTTGTTGCATGCTTTTGTCATTTTTATTCTGTGTTTTTAGTGTAGTTTCTTGCATTTAAAAAAATATAAATAAAAAAAACAATGTTATGGCAGTAAAATAATTTTTTTAAAAGTGATTTATTATTTATTTATATTTATACATTGCTTTTGTATCAAATGATTTTATTTATACATTTAATAATTTTATTATATATATATATATATATATATATATATATATATATATATATATATATATATATATATATATATATATATATATATATATATATATATATATATTATTATTATTTTTTTTTTGTAATGGTTTAAGATGCTGTTTGGATTAAATTAATTTATCTGCAACAACTTCAAAAACTCTTTTTCACATTGTCATTATAGGTATTGTGTGGAGAATTTTGAGGAAATAAATGAGTTTAATTCATTTTGGAATAGGCAAACTTTACTTACCGAGCACAATTTTATACAAACATACTTGATCCAAAGTGCTTTACAATGAGATAAAATCTTTAAGAAAATAAACAAAATAAAACTTGTATTAAAAATGTAAGAAAAGGAAATATATGTATATATGTAATACTAAAATACCGTATAGAAAGTACATGTATGAGTCACTCAAAGGCAAGGGAGTAAAAATAGGTCTTCAAGTTAGATTTAAAAGTATCCAAGGATGGAGAAATCCTGATGGAGAAATCCTTGGGGCCGCAACACAGAAAGCTCGATCACCTTTTGATTTGCAGTGAGACAGGGACGGACAAAACAAACTGATCATGGGACCTTATTGGTCTACAAGCTGTATATAGCCTAATAAACTCACTGACTTGATCTGGGGCAGAATTGTGCAAAGCTTTATATGTAAAAAGAAGGCTCTTTAAATCAACTCTGAATTTTATAGAAAGCCAGTGCAATGAGGCGAGGACAAGGGAGATATGATCTCTTTTCTTAGTTCCTGTTATCAATCTGGCAGCTGCATTTTGGACCAAAACTGTAACCGAGAGATTGTTGACTGGGGTAGACAAATGTATAAGGAGTTGCAGTAGTCCAACCGAGAGGAGATTACAGCTTGGGTCACAGTTTCTAAATCTTTTTTTTTTTTAGAAAGAAATGATTTAATTCTTGCCACCAATTCAAGTTTGAAAAAGCTGCTCTTTACAACTGCATTTACATGCTTGTCAAACTGCAAAAGTGGATAAAAAAGTACTCCGAGATTTTTGGCGTGACTGTGCAGATTACTACTTAGAAATCCTAGCTGAGTTTTAATTGAATTGTTGGTAGCAGCAGGACCTAATATATACTATAATACACAATATATAGAATAAGGCTGTGACATAAAAAAATGTGGATAAAGTGAAGCGCTATGAATACTTTCCGAATGCACTGCATGTCAATAGTATTAACAATTATGCCTGCATCTTTTATAATCACATCGTATCACGTATTGAGAAAATAAAATATTGTTGACTCAGCCGAATGATTTTCAAAATTAACAAATGAGACGAACCCAGAGAAAAAGTCAGATTAGAAATCAGTGGCAAAAAGGCTGATGAGCTAATTGGCCCAAGAATACAGTTATTCACAATGTTGTAACCTAAAATCCTGAAAAGTCTACCAGTCAGTCGTCTAGTGAACAGGCTGGATTGTGTGTTCGTGTGTTGTTCTTCGCTAGTCTTTCTCTTCAGGGGATGTGAGTAACAGTGGGAGATTTCCTGCTTGATCCTCTTTCCTCCTCACTGTGTGGATATCGTGCTGCAGGTCTTCTATTTCTGTGTGGGTGTGTGTGTGTGTGTGTGTGTGTGTGTCTGGCACGGCACCAGGCCTGAAAAAAGACATTAACACTGTCTCGTTTGGCTTGGCATGACAGTATAGTCTTATGTAATGTTTACAGTGGCATGCTACTACAGTATTGTATACAGAATGCCATTATGTACATTATAATATACATTACATCAGAAAGCAAATTCTTTGGTAATGCTAGTTTGTGTAATACATGCTTCAGTCATTTATGTATTTATTTGAATTGCATCTAAATTATTATTATATGAACAGTGTTTTGAGGAATGTTTAGTGTTTTCCGACTTGCAATTATCATCTGATTTGCTATTTCAGAGGCTACTGTAGGTCAAGCTATTCAAACCATGCATCTACTTTGAGTTTACTATTAGGGTATATGTAGAAGCAAACGCCTATTTTACGAGAACTTGGTGCTTTAGATCTGCAGTTTCAGACTGATAAAGGATTTTTTTTTACTCTAGCATAGACAAATTGGCACAATTATGCATTCACAATGGTATAAACCATAAAAGGAGTGGTCAAATGTATATTTATATTATCCATTATTTTAATTATTACCATTATTATTTAAAATGCAGATCAGAGTGAACTATTTCTCGGTATTAAAGGGCTGACACCTTATACATCTTGTTTTCATGTCCTTCAGAGGGGATCAAGCGTTAATTATACACCCCCCCCCCCTCCCCCTCCCAATCCCCACAGTAATTTGCACCCTGCGTTGCATCCCGCAAGGCAATGCGCTTGACTTGAGCCCCAGGAGGACACAAGTGAGCGCTAAAGCCTGGTTTATACTTCTACGTCAAGTGACCGGCGTAACTCACGGCGCAGGCAACGCGCGCAGCTGTGCATTTATACTTCTGCGAGCTGTCTCTGTTGGTCTGCATTAACACTTCCGAAACGCTAGTTGGCAGTGAGGTGTAAATGTTCCTCTGTGTCGAGTTTCTTCTCTGCTGTTTTGCTTTTCCTGAACACTTCCTGGTTGTACAAGTGGCTCAAACTCGCTCATTTTGAGGCAGGAACCGGCGGACGTGCAACAACTTTAACTATGAGGTAAACACACAACAAAACTTTCCATCCGGAGCTCCTTCATGGGACTCCACACTTGTAAACAATCGCACGCGCCATTCACGCGGCTCTCGGTCCCGCCCAGACTCGTCAGCGCTACCAAGCCGACCAATCACAGAGCTTGCGCTACCCGTTGTTGTGACGTGTAGTTACATTTTTTTTGAGAGGTGCACGTCAGTGATGCCGACGGCCACGGCGAAGGGCTATGCGTCAGCGCCGTAGCATACGCCGGCGTTTGACGCAGAAGTATAAATCAGCCTTAAGGGGTCTCTGTAGAAATGTTTTATTTAACACTTATATACAGTTGAAGTCAGAATTATTAGCCCTCCTGTATATTTTTTCCCTCAATTTCTGATTTAACGGAATTTCTAAATATAATAGTTTCTTACCATAGATCTATATATATACACTAGATCTTTCGGATGAGACGTTAAACCGAGGTCCCGACTCTCTGTGGTCGTTAAAAATCCCAGGATGTCCTTCGAAAAAGAGTAGTGGTTTAACCCCGGCATCCTGGCCAAATCTTCCCTCTGTCCATCATGGCCTCCTAACCCTCCCCATATCATAATTGGCATATCATCACTCGGTCTCCTCTTCACCAATCAGCTGGTGCTGGCGCAAAATGGCTGCTGTCGTGTCATCCGGGTGGATGCTGCACACTGGTGGTGGATGAGGAGATTGCCCCCTATTGTGTAAAGCACTTTTGAGTGCCTAGAAAAGCGCTATATAAATGTAAGGAATTATTATCATTAGATATCGCACATGGATCCTGAGCATGCTTCAGTGCTGCCGCCATATTTGTACAGGGCTCCCAGGACCAATGTCATTTAAACACACTAGTCTAGACTAAAGACAATGTGAAGATGGGGACTTTAGCGCTGTTTATGGATGTAGTAACAAGCAAACAAAGGCACAAAGTGCAGAACATTTAAGATTTAGTTTTTAGACTTTTGTATGTAATTAACTTTTTGTGCTAAACAAGCATTAATGATAATACAGTCTCTTACTGCACTGACCATAAGGACAGTAGCACCAACCTGCATTAAATACTCTGCTTATGCTAGCTTGGTTGAATAAAATAAGCAAACAATGTAAATGAAGTATGCCAACAAGACGCTGCGGTGCTAGAAACTAGTATTATTGTCGGCTCAGTGAACAAGTCAGTCATAACAGAGATTCATTCACAAACGAATCGCTCCCTCCGTCAGTATGAGAAGTGAAAGCAGGAGAGGAGGTGTGTTTCAGGACGCGAATTAGATCAAATTAAACAGGGAAGGAGATAATACATTTCCATACACACAAACACTCGCTCTTTGTCAGAAATGCCCATGCGGTCACTCAGCCATCGATGTAAAATAGTGATATAGTAAATAGCAAAAATAATATTTGCATATTGACCACCGGGAAAACTTCCTATCATAGATAGATGTACATGTGTATATCTCTGTCTCTGGATGGCCAAAGTCCTCCTCTACACCTTGATTCCACATTTATTTTCAAAGGAGCGCTATCCTGTACTAAAATGGCGG